ATGCCAAGCAAAATGGAAACTGTCCACACAGCTTCACAGGAAAACTACAGAATTCCTAAGAAAGCTGTCTGCCAGCTCTGTCCCCTAAATGCACTTATTCATAAAAGACAGCAGTTCCCAGCCACCAAAGGCAGCATGAGCTTTGTTCTCTTTACATACATATCCAATTATTACAAATCAGGTGTAGAGCAATGCATATGTACCAGCTAGGAACATATGTACAGAACATGTTTATGCCTCTCAGTAAGGAAAAAACCAACCCATCAGAACAAAACCCCAACAGATGACAGGGAGAGAAGCAGCACTGAGTGAAGCAGTGGACAGCTGGGGGTTTAGTTTACGATTAAAACGTTGAGGTGTTGGGAGAATATGCAGAATATGAGGTGTAGGACAACATAATAGAACAATTCAGCTGAAATTGCAGAAAGGACAAAGAAAGAAGAGGCAGAGGATCTGAAGGAAGCCAGGATCACTGTTATTATTAGCAGTTCTGTGGATTTAAAAATGGAAGGAACACAAAGTATTAGACCTGTGACACTTGTTCTCTAGGCCAGTCTATCTTTTAAGAGCAGCAAGTAGTAGAAGCCTACGTAAAGAATACAAAACATAAGCAAGCCTTCCACATGGCATGGCCTTAGAGTTTCAGGCAATCAGGGAACAGAGATTACGTGCTACAGCCATGCAGAAGGCAGAGTTGGGGTGGCAGCAGAGTCTGAAAGGGTGGATGGACTCTACTGTGCAACTGTAGGGAGGCAAGAAGGAGGCCAACAAACAGAACTCTTCAAACACATCAGGTAACAATCACTTTAACCAAAAGGAAAGCAAGAAACTAATGGAAACAGAGCATGTGTTTTAAAACCTACAGATGACCTAACTGGTTTTACCTTAAAGGACTGCATTGTTAGGATCCAAAGCAATGAAAAAATGAATTAGTGCTTGTGTATATTAAGAAGAAAAAAACAGAACTAACTTGTTTTAAATGCTCAACTTGAAAGTTGATGCAAATACACAGCACAGATTAAAGGAAATAAAAGGTTTAAAATCTGGTCAGGTATTGAAAGACACCAAACAAACATAATTACTTAAATACCTAGCATTTAAGTAGTAACCTGATCAAGGATACAAATAAAACCTGATTGATCTTTCACACAGATGGCCTCAGAAGCTGGCAGAAAAGAAGTTTAAAGGATTTCCAAAGGATAGTCTAAAAGTGAAAAGGCAGTAAGGAAAGACTCATGTTCCACCTTCCTCCCCTGTCAAAGTAATTGCAGGAGAGATCTATAAGCTCACCCATGACTGGAGGAACCCTCTGGTAACCTGGCTGGTTCTCCAGAGCATCAGCATGAATTCCTTCACCCAACAGGATATGTGGCCCTCTCATCAACTTGGCCAAAATCAAACACATTTCTCTAATAGCTTTGCTGGAACAGTGTACTCTGTTCTCAGAAATCACTTTTCGGCATCCCCCCCCAAAGAAACAGCTCAGATGTGGGAAAAAAAGAATGGCCTCTGGAGCTGAAAATTATCCTGCAAACATAAAAGTAAAGACACTCCATAGAGAAGGGAGGCTGATTCTTCCTACTGTGAACGCGAAGCGAGCATCCTTGGTGATGTCCCAGTGCCAGGGAAAGACAGAAGATCTACGGCGTCTACGGGAGGACATGCCTGGCCACCAGAAGTGCCCTTCTTCCTTTGGAGCTCCAAAAGCATCAGATACATCATACTCTGCAAGCTCTTGAAAAACCTGCAGCGAAAGGGAAGAGATTGCTGTCCTTAGGTATGAAGGCTACCTGCTAAAGGCGAGATGCAGATAGCAGTAGTAAGAGGAAGATATCAGTGCCTTAAGTTTCCTTTTACCTGACTGGCTGTCAGCTGAAAACCTGTCTTCAGCAAGTAGACACTCTTATCCACAGTGGCAATGCAGACACAGCTTGACTTTGCAGCTCTGACCTTGATGTTCACAACATCACCAGGTCTGGTCTCATTTGCTGAGAGCACCACCGCAACCTAGGAATTGAACATTAAATCCCATTATCTCGACTCAGACTCAGCAGATAAAACTACAAAGAGTAACAGGACACCAGCCCTTCCTCTCTAGTGCCAATACCTGATTTTCAAAGGAGGACTTCACTGTGAACTGGAGGCTGTCTGCGACTCCTTCTCCATTCTCCCTGACGTAATACACCAGGAGACGGCCCAAGGGAGCCATGCTGGGAACTACCAAGAAGCGGAGGAACGTCCTGCAGACCTCAGCCTCTGCTGCAGGGACACTGGGAGGTGCTAATGAAAATAAATTGGAAAAAGAACAGTTTTAGTAACCAAAATCACTTTCTTCCTGCCCCATCCAAATGCTGTGAGGCACAGAACTCTCCATCAAGCACTTGCATCCTTCCCGTGCTCCTGTTGCACACATTCTCCTTGAACTCAGAATCTTTTCCCTTTTGGTTTTGGGAAAGCTGACAGGCAATTAGCAGCCACGGCATAATGAGCAGTATGGAGAAGGTGGAACTACTACCCAATGTTTTTCCTACTATAAAATCAAGGAAAAATACAATTAAGTATTCAAATATTTAAAATCCATCAAAAGGATCCCTATTGCTGCAGAACACTGCTGAGAGAAGCACAGAGGGGGTATGAGGGTAGAGAGACTCTTCCTTTGGTAGCTGTTGCATGCCTCTTTCCCAAGCATACCATTCTTTATCCCCCTGTTCCCTGAATTCACCAGATTTGTATTTTCTGTTCTTCTTTATACAAACCAGGAGTCCACACTTCATTCCCTCTTGGAGAAACAAATCTTTTTTCTATACGAGTATGTGTGCAATGAATACCACTATTTTTCCTGCACAAAATTATTCTACGCCCTTTAAGGAGCACAAATTCAAACAAGAGGATATTTAGGTTTGTGGAAAGGTTGTTTTCCCCTGAAGAGAAAGGGTGAGTTTGTATTTCTGATGCTAGCTACCTGTTCCTGGGAGGCGTGTGACATCAATGTTCTTAAAGGGAAAGGTGGCTCTTTTGCTCCTCTGCTGGGTGATGTTGCTGGGCTGCAGTCCTGAAAGGACAATATTGCCTCGCGATGCCACTTCATAATGTAGAGTGAAATTGCAAGGACATGTGGACTTCACTGCAATCCAAGCCTCCTCTCCTACCTGCACCCAGAGACAAAAAGGCAAAAGATCTGCTCTATTAAATGTATGCTTTTTATTTCTAAAGCACAGAAATCTATTTGGGTTTCAGTCCACAAGAGATGTGACCTTTCTCCTCAGGAATGTTTGCATTGAAAAGTATAGTACATTAGCACTGTTTTCACGGACTTTCTTCACAATAAAAAGGGGCCTGTGTTGAGCTCTTTGCTCCCTGTAAATCTAACAGGAGAATGGGCTGGGGGGTTGTATGCATTAATGAAACAATAAAGGAATCTCTGGAATCCTGAAAGTTAAGCCTTTTGGCACAGAGCAGTTGTCAGAATTGGTTGAATTTTCGACACCCCTTCAGTAGTCCAGACCCGAAATGAAAGAGCTGGGTTGGGGGTGGGAAGGGATGTGCCCCCACAGTTTAACTGAGATAATATATGGTGATTACTTTCATATGGCAAGTACTAATTCAAACATAAGCAATATGGTATAAAGTTCCTGGGAGTAGATCTGAGAGAAAATGCTTTCAAATCACACAAGTCTTAATATGAATTTGCAAGTCTGGCACTCAAGGAGCTGTCAAACAAATAAACAAGACAAGAGCTTCTTTTTTCCGGGCAAACCCCTCTGATGCCTGCAGCAGGCTCCAGAGCAGCACTGACTTCCTGCGCTTCTTGTGCACTGAAGGCCTGTCTCAAAGGTACTCACTAGGTACTGAATACCCTGGAGACAAAGTGACCCAAATACTGCCAATGCCAACAGAATAGACATCAGTGCTCAGTCACAGGCTTAGGACTGGGTCGTGCCTGGCTGAGTAATAAGCTCTCTGTGGAGCCACCAGCTTCCCTTCTTGCTTCTGGGATACAAGGAGCAGCTAACACTTGTATTAAGTGGGACTTCCACACCTGATCCTCCTGCCATTTAAAGCACAGCAATGCCCAGCTAGGACTGTTAAGGCTGAATAGCAAAGTTAAATCCCAATGAAATCTTTTGAAAAACCTCTTTTTTTTCCAGCACCAACAGTGTTATCTTTCCAGAATGTACTTATGGTACAAACCAAAATGGCAAGGACTTGAATACAAGGAGCTGCTAATGGGTTAAATACAGAGGGAATGCCACAGAGTCCAAGAAGTGCCTCGTGACAGTAAATATTTGAAGTATTAAGAATTCCCCAGTGCAAATGATGAAACAATTCATTAAAAAAAAAAATGAATGTAGCTAATTGGAACACCCAGTAAGAGCTGGCAAAGCAAGGAAACAGTTCCCACATCAGCTGGTCATCCACCCCCCAGCTTTCCCACAGAAGAATTAGTTCTAATCAGGTTATAATAAGAACAAGGTGTTCAGATTAGCAGTGTATAATCCCCTTTCCATACCTCAGGAAACTTGTAAAAGATTAATTAGCCATTAAACTTCCATGAAATGCAATGATAAAAGAAATGTTATTTGGATACAAAGAGTCTGAAACCAATCTATGGACCTGCTGATAATAGGAATCTAAGTATATATTGCCAAAGCCCACTTTTCTCGCCCCACAAAGCAATATGCAGACCCTTGGAGCATCTTCTTGGGTACAGAACAAATCCTAAACAACTCAGTAAAACAATATACAACAGGAATCATGGTTAAATCAGATCTCTCCTAAAGGAGAGATCATATGGAAGAACTGCATTTTAGAGAAGCTCCTACAAGAGAAGACAAGATAACTACATTCATAGTTTGATAACTGGAAGACTAAATAGATTCAGTTGAGATTTAAACTGGAAGCCCTAATTTGGATCTTTAGTAATCAAGCTGCACCCACCAACACCACTTCCAATCTTTCTACATTTGTTAACTTGAACTAAAGCACATAATTTTCACCAAACAGTTTGTATGTGAACATTACTGGAGGAGCACAGAACAAACACTCAAATAGGAAAACCTTTTCAGTGTCTACATCCACCCTCTCTCCCCTATCCCCACAAAACAAAGGAGAATGAGATGCTGAGCAAAGCATCAAAGGTACTTTGCTTAGCACTGTGTGCAGCCCACATTAAACAGTTATTTGGTGGCTGAAGTGCACCTACTTCAACCTTTGTACTGGAAACAACAGTCCAGGATCCCACAAACAGAAGTGGCTAGAAATTTAATCAGAACAAAGTACTTTCAGTCAAGAAATGCAGTTGTTGCTATGATGGAGTATGATGCCAACATACCTGGAAAGGTTTATCTGGTGCCTGGAGCTGGATGTGACACTTGCTGGGCGAGTACCAGCTACTGATGGACAAGTAGTTTGGCAGATATTGATCCCCAGATGGTTTTCCATCAATCGCTGTCACTTTGGTCTTAACAAAAGTTACATCTGAATGTTACGCATGTATAGAAAGCCTGATTTGTACTCTCTTCTTACACTGTGTCCCCACCTCCCATTGTGTACTTTCCAGCTGTTATCTCTTGTCATCTTTACATAGCAACAGTACACCAAATATTGGACCCTTATTTTAAGCTATATTTGGAGAAGCATCTTTTCATGATGGTCATCAACCTCAGTTCTATTGGCAGCAAGAAACAAAGCAAGTGTTTGCTGCATTTAAAACAAGAAGTTGAAGCTAAAAGGCACTGGTTTCTGTTTGTAGCACTGATTTATAAAGTGCAGGTTTGACAAGATTAGTTACATTAAACCCCAATAATCCTATAAAGAGCTTTCACCCACCTCCAGCCAGACATATTGGGCAGCTGTAGGGATGGAGGGGATTTCAAACTCCACCAGGCCATTTCTTGATACCAGTTCACTTGTATAAACGTTGTCCTTTGGTGTGAGTTCAGCTTTAATTCGGATAGTGACTCTGTCAGCTGGACTTCCATCAGGGTAAGTGACTTCTACCTACACAGCGTTTCATTTATAGAACAACGGGGTTTACATTATAGGCAATTCCAGTCAATGACACAAACAGCAGGTGGAAAAAACCACACCAGAACATGGCATATCATCCTGGGATCAAGCCAGTATAGCCTTCTATCAGCCACATGTCAGCACCTCTACTTTTAATCTTACCTTTCCTTTGTAAGGCAGTCCAGGTTTAAACTGTTTTCTAGTATCTTTGGAGTACTTGATATCAATCAGCTGTTTCTGGACAGGTGTTGAGTCATCAAATGTAACCTGCTTGCTCCCATCAGAGCTGATCACTGTGGCCCAGATGTTGACTGTGCCACGGAAATGCTCTGGAACATCAGCTGGCATCATGTCTTTCACACACACGTCAAAGACAGCAGAGCCATCAATCTGCAAAAGGGGTTGAGGGAAGGGAAATGTAAGTTTGCATTCACTTTCACAAAGGGTCTAGAAGCCAAATCTAAAGTGCAGGCACATAAAAAAAAATGTAATTGGTCCAACATAATGAAAATATTTATTGCATTTATCCATTTATTTTCAGATCTCCCCCCAGTAACATCAGAGCTGTGGTATTCATGTCAAAGAGTACAAACCAGCCTTTTTATCACAGCTGCCCCAATGGTCTCACTCACCTGGGTGGTCTTGAGGACAGGGTGTCCCACCTCATGCCTGTAGTACCCTACTCCATTTATTGTCATGTTGATAATTAACTTTCCTGTCACCGGTTTTCCAAACGTGTATCTGAAATGGAAAGAAGATAATTCATAACTGCTGCTGTTTCCTGTATTCCTGAGTCTATCAAGGCTGCTACTATGTGAGCTGCACAGCCAGAAATCTGAAAAGCCTGCAGCAGATGAGATCCAAGCTCCTGTGGCTGCACCATAATTCGTTGTAAGGAAACTCCCCTGTCCTACCTGGCATGGACAGTTCCTTTTTCACACAGTGAAAGGTCACGAATGTAGCGAGGGGGGTCAATCAGCAACTCAAACTTTGGTAACACTATAATGAAAAGAAATACAACAGAATCTGTTCAAGATCTTATTGTCCAGATGATAGCAGAAGTGCTGGCAAGATCACTGCTGGGGATGAGATGAGTGCAGTGCAGCTAATGTGAGACAAGACAGCACTCAGGGGAGAATTAAAGCAACGAAAGCAGCAAACCAAGACTATCTCAGCAAGTATCTTAGCAAAACACCTTAGATTTTTACTTCAGAGGGAATTTTACTTCAGCCAGGATTTGACCTCAAGCCTCTTCTCTTTAGATACACAGTAAAAAGGACAACTTGATATGACTCCTTCATGATGTGTTGGGAATAGACCCGAGATACTAGCAGTTGTCAGTGGCTGTAAACAGGCTTGTGTGACCGGGTCAGATGTCCTAGCTGCTGTGCTGGGTGTAACACCACCCACCTTGCATCAAACAGGGGAACTCTGAGACTGAAAAAGGGAGTGGCAAAAAAAGGAATTCCTAATTCCAAGGAGAGCACTGACAGACTGAAAGCATCTTCAAGAGTTTTCCAAAGCAAAATAAATTGTGCAGTTTGGCACTTCAAGTCTTTTACTTTATGGAGGACAGAAACAAAGAGACTGGTTAAGTTGTAAGTGTCTATATGCCTGAAGTATCTGTATCCCTATAACCCAAGTATTTATATCCCTACATTCCTAGCCTCTAAAGATTTCTTCCTCATAACACTCTAACTGCCATGGTGTTTCATCTCAGGTAAAACATTTCATAATGCTTTGTTTTTCCCAATGCACTTGGGTTACAGTCAAAGTTGATTTGGATATAACTCACCATATTTCTGAACTTCAAAGGATTTGTTGTATGTGTGTCCCTGCATTTCAGCAAAGATGAGCCATTCACCAAACACTGGCTGATCAGACAGAGGAAAAGTCATATTTACAATACCTGAAAAAGGAAACAACATTCTGCGAACTCTGTGTCACTCATCAGCCCTTGTCAAGGCTACTGAACACAACTCAGCAGGAGCAAAGGCAAACAACAATACACTGAGAAAAAAAACATCTGAAACTTACCACAACAAAATGGCTTCAGATTACTCCACTCTATCATACGAGACCCCCGAGGATCCTGCAGAGTGGTTTAGGAATGAGAAACATCACAGTGAAAAGGAATATCACTAATACATTTAACTCAGTTTGCAATAAAGAATATATACACTTCATTAACAGCTCACATGTAAATAATGACTGTCAAAAACTTCTCTGAAGATACTTTACCAGGGGTACTTGCTGTCTAAAATTCAGTACTTGTTTAGACCCTGCTTGTATAAGCAATGCACACAGTAAACACTGTCAAGTGGCAGATCTTCCACCTATCTTAAGATACCTATTTTGCATGGAAAGAGCCAGCCTCTGAAGACTCTTTCTGCTCCTAAAAGGAGCTGTATAACTAACAAGGCAATATTTAGATGATAAAGTCAGATGAAGTCAATTCCATTGGTTTTGTCAGCATTATATCTGTGACTAAATGCAAACAAGAGAAGAGGGGGAGTTCTTCTGCTTGCTGACAGCCAAGGAAAACACATGGGGAAAAAAATAAAAGACTAGACACAGAAGGAACCTCTCATTCACCTCATAAGGAAGAAGACAGGAGCACCCTTTCCTTGCCATGAATTTCTATTGTCCACTATCATAATGTTTGGGTGCAGAGATGAGATTGGCCCTGCTATATCAGCCCAGCCAGATGAAGGATAGGAGAGTGTCTGCATTGGAAAGAAGGGAGAAATTGAGTGGGACTGTTACATTTATAAACCCCAGTGAATCTAGCCAGTTCTTCTCAGTCTGAAAAATGGGAATGGATTGCTGAAACTGAAGTAGAAAACAAGTATATTTGTTGCTGATAACAAAAAAGCAGGACACAAAGATCAGTTAAAGACACAGGGATAGAGATAATTGCATAGGTTATAGTTGGGAATGGCCATAATGGACTTGAAAAGGTACAGACGTGACTTGTTCTCTTATGGCTGCAAGAAGCTTTTGCCTCTACAGGATACATGCTACATGACTGGCAGACAGATACTCACCACCACATAAGCTTCAATCTGAAAGAAACAAAAAAAGAATAAAAAGTTTTATGAAACAAAGCTACTTTTCTGCTTCATGTGCTGCAGTGCTGAGTCGACATAAGCAAGATATGACGCACAGAGTGATGAAGTTTAAACATCTCTTCTTTGGTAAGAGTAGCTGAGAAACATACACTGCATTCACCCATCTAACTGGAAAAGTCATACTTTGTGCATCTGTGCATTACCTAAATAGAGCAGTCTCTGAAAAAAGTCTTCTAACTGTTTTGACATAGTTACATCATATTTGCTACCACTACAAAAGTGCATATTCTCCTTTAACAGTAATGTCACCAAATGAAATAAATGGTAAATCACAAGACATGGCTAAATAGCTTAAAAAAATCCAATTATATTTCTGCATAAATGTAGATTAGAATAAAATACAGATTGCCAAATATTGCACCATATTTTAGTGTGAAAGAAAACAGTTTTCTTTACCCTGTCATTGACTGGTCTCAAGTCAGAATTCACCAAAAAGAGGTTTATCAACACTAGAAAAAGAAAAGAAGAAATGTATTAGTCATCACAACTGACAGTGAACGGAGTACCTCATCCTAGGATTTATCCCTGGAAAGGGATTTGCTTGAAAGCAGTCCTAGCATCTGGCGAGTTCTCCACGGTCACTTTACCTTTCTGCTTGGGTTTATAGACAGGTTTATCAGTCTGGATGAACACTGATGAGCCTTTGCTATCGATGGTTACTGTGGTATAATTGTGAAAAATGTAGCCTTCCTCTGCTAGGTGCCGGTTGCCCCAGACTTTCAGATGTGCCTGTCCACGGAGTCCTGAAGGCACCTACAAACCAGACCATGAGGTGAGGAAGGCACAGAAGAGCCTCTCGACTTTCTGGGGGATATAACTGACACTGAAGTGAGCAAGGAGCAGCCACCTGCTGCATTTCAGTGTAACTGTGTGTTAGTCATAAAAAGAAAATGAAGAACATACTAGAACTTTTACAATGTATAAACTTCAAAGGAGATAAAGTCATGCTAAAAACAGGGCAGGAAATTCTCTTCTCACCTTTCTTTAGCACTCAAGATTTAATCTACACATGCACCTTCTACTAAAGAAGGTGTGATACATGGGGAAATCAACCACGCTACAGAAGACACGGCTCTGTTGATATAGGGGAAAAAAACCACCCCCCCCAAAAAAACCCCACAACCCAAAACCAGAAGACACAAAACCCCCCAAGCCAAACAGGCACATTTTCAACCAGCTGCTCAGAGAAATAAATGACTTTGTAATTATGTTAGAATGAAAATGATGAAGTAAAATATCTGACAATGTTATAAGTATTGTAATAGGTCAGAATTTATGAGTGAAAAAAAACCCCAACCAAATCAGCAATGAGACTGCAGACTTCATTCAACAGCAAGTTACAGTCTTTGGATAAAGAAATCTCTAGCATTTGGTGTAACTGCTGATGTTTCCTATCACATAGGTCTATATTACACCTTCTCAAAAAGAAAGGGATACTTATGAGTTTGTATATTAGCATAGTAAAGGGTGGAGAAATATCAGACTCTTTCTAGATCCTAATTCCCAGGCACAGTCTAACTACTGGCAGGATAGAACAGCCATATAGTAATTACAGGAAAGGCAAAGAAAACTCAGGGGTACACTACCAAGGCAAAGGAGATCCTATCACTCACGACAGACCATCACCCAGCTGTGTAGAATTCCGGAAATCAAATGCTTTAATTTACTTACAGGCCAATAACATGGATGATGCAGCAGGTGCAGTGAAAGCATCTATGCTGTGCTGCAGTAATACAAGAGAACTGTTCCCTGTTCCACTGCTGTGGTTGAAGGTAAGTCCCTTATGTTTTCACCAAAACATCTTAAAATAATTGACACTCACCTTCAGTTTAATTGTTCCTTTATCTAAAATGAGAGAGAGAAAGCACATTATTCTTCTCAGGCTAAGGTACTAACATTTTACATTTGCAGTAGAAGGACCTGACTTCTTTTGGGACTTGAATAATTCTCCAAACAAGTGCTCATAGAATCTATTTTGATTGCTGGATACAACTATATCTAAGGTTTCTCTTTAGCATATGTCGTCCACATGTGGCAGCATCACTCCCTTTGAATTACTTAGCAATTGTCAGCCAATTTCAAAGACAACAAGAGGAGGATAAAACCAGAGACAATCTGTTCCAAGAAAGGAAATGGCTTTTGTATAACTCCCAGTTTTTACGTATAGAGGGGTTAAAACATGATGGTTAAAGAGCCCGATTGCCCAAGTCTTACCTACTTTACAGCTTACACCACTACTAGCAGTGGTAGAACAGCACTACTGGACTTCATCTGCACTAAATTCATTCAGTATTAAGTTGGACATACTCAAAACACCTTTTGTCTTTATACGCAGGACAGAGGTATCTGTCTTGGATTTGTGCACTTATCCAAATGCACAAGTATTACCACCTCTTTCAGCAATACTCAGTCCTGAAGATACAGAAATTGCATTTCCAGCACTCACTTTAAAATAAGGGTAGAAAAGAATGATGATGTTGTAGATTTTGTATCTTTCTTTAAAGTCAACTTATCTTATACTTTATACAGCTCCTCAGTGTCAGGCATTCAGGTTTCAAAAGGAAAGATACTCACTATGAAACTCGAGTATCAATTATGTCTTAGTGTTCCAAAATCATCAGCCTTGGGTGTTTTGAGATCACATACATCAAAACCCCGTTACCACAATCAACTGAGAACATTTAGTAGTAGCCAATGAATTAAACAGTAATTTGCTTCCAGTTCTGTTATCACCTAAAGCAATTCTCTGAGAGATGTGTTTCCACAACACCTCAACTTAGAAACTAATTCTCAAGCTGAGAATTACATGAACTTACCCAGAACTGTTCCGTGGCCTCGCGACACAGTTTCTCCTTTGACTACTAACTGAATCTGGACTGTTGTCTCCTTGACAGAGTTAAAGATAGTTACACTTATAGCTTCCTCAACACCAGAGCGGAAAACAGAAGGTGCTGCAATCAAATAGCCCCTGAGGAGCAAAATTGGAAGTGGATGGTCAAGCACAGCAACAAGAGTGTGATCTTTATTTATAAGCCACTTTATGCATAGCAAAAGGAAAAGAATATTCTGTAACAGATTTGCCCCTGTAGGGTCAATGCTTGTGACAATCAGCAGTCTAGGCCAGTATCTAACAGGCTTAATATGAACACAGAATGCACATAGAAATGAGCAGAGCCTAAGTGGTTTACAAATGCTTAGTATTTAAATAAAGGAGTAATATTGATCTTTATTGCATACATATTATAAATATATATTATATATAAATAAACTAAATATACAACTAGCTAATCATAGAAAAACTGAAGTTCATGAAAAGACAAGGAGGGACCTGAACCTCCAGTAGAATTTTGTAGATAATACCCTGTTTTGAAGCAGCTTAGATACTTCTCACGTTTTACCTCAATTAATTTTCATGGCTGCAACTTGATATACAAAACAAGAAGGGACTCTCAGTGCTGATACTCAGCACTTCCCAAACATCAGGCTCACATACATACGTGTCTCACCTTCCAAACCGTGTAGAAACGGCCCAGAAACTGCAGTTAGAAGACTGGGCTCAAATGCTCAGTTTTACTACCGTTTTCATTCAAACAATTACATCCTGCCAGTTTACAAACCCTGGCAGAAAGGCATCATTTCAGCAAGCACACACACAGTTTTAAAGCCACCCCAGACGACCTCCCATATATGCTACAATCCTTGTGTTTCTGAATGGAATCAGCACCACTCCTCCGTGCTGAATGGCACCGCGCCATGAACTTGTCAACTAAAAGCATTACAGCCCCTGAGCTCTTTGATGCGCTGGGCTGGAAGCAACACATTTACATTCTCTTCGTGACACACCTTTCTGGGGTTTTCTCCTACCCAAAAGGATTTCTTTTGAAACAAGGCAATTCCTCAAGTGACTCTTTAAGCCCAGTTTCTCAGCCCATGACTTTCTACAGTTCCATGAGCCAGGTTGCTTTAGTTCGTGATTAATTATCACTTTGGGATGAGGATGATGGTGTTTTACAGCCCCCCAAGTCATCTTTTACCAAATTCCAAGCCCATGTTTCTCTCTCAGCAGGCCTCATTGCCATGGAGATCCCATTACCCCCAAAGGAAGTTCAGATCCCTGTGGCATTTGAGTTAAATTGCATGGGTTTCTTGCAGATTCAAAACCTTACGGTTGCCAGGTTTGAAAATTCATTAGGACAATAATAAACAACAATAGAGTTACTACTTAGCCTGCAAATTCTTGGTAAGACAGACATAGCTGATCTAGTTGCAGAGGGAGAAGGAGTACCAGCTGCAGCCAGTATGAGCTGATTAGATTCAAACTGTCACACAAGCACAGCACTAAGGTGCCATATGTGAAGCACATGTATTCACATTGTTCTGAACTGCTGCAGCTCCTTCTGAAGTATCACTCTCTTGATACGGTCATTTAAATCACTTGATAAATGGTGTTTGAATGTTCAGTATTTAACTTGGCAATTAAACAGTTAACTTGACAGTGACTGGACAGATCCTTTAAGCACATTTGACTAACAGCTCTGTCAGGTTATGCTAAAACTTGGCAGGACTGGAAACATTTTTTAGTAAGAAAGTGAAAATAAGTTCTCCATGGCACTCTGTTAAGGCAGCTATTCATGATGCTGAGTGGCTATAATAAGCTAGGGTTAAAGAACAAAGCAAACCTTAATCAAAGTTAACCTAAACACACTGGAACGAGCTGTGGATTCAATTTCTACAAGCCAGAGGACTTGCCCCGCAGTGCAATGTTTCTCCCTGGATGGTTTTCCCCACAGGAATGCTCTTCGGGAGCAACCAACGTTACCTTCACCCATCCCAAGCACAACAGCAGCCCCTGCGCAACACCCTGGATTCCTTAAATAATTGTTTGCAGATAAAAGC